TAAGTTATTTTTCAACTGAAATTTGAATTTTTTTTGTCTTTTAAATCCATTTTTCTCTGCATCTATCCTTGAACCCACCAATCTGTTTTCAGCATTTATGAGCCTGTTTTTCCTCAAAGAACCTGCAAATAATCAAGATCACACAATTTTTCTACTTCTGAGTTATTTTACTTAGTGTAATATCTCTGAGGACCACCCATGTCACAAATGGCAAGATTTCCTTACAATCCCATTTCCTTTACATACTCATCCATTGATGGTCATGTTGCCATGTCTTGGTTATTGTAAATTATACTGCAATAAATATGAAGTTGCAAATCCCTTTTCATGTTAGTTTTGTCTCCTTTATTTAAATACTTATAAGCCAAATTGCTGTATCATGTGATTGCTTCTCTACATGCTTCACACAATTTATTAAAAACTGAGCATTGTTATCATTGGGATATCATAATTCTACAAATCAGATTCTTCTCCATCCCTAGTACTTATTGTTGCTAATTGTCCTAACTATATTTTGTTGTAACAGGGCCAGATGAGTATCTTTGTCTTGTCTCTGGTCTTAGAGGAAACACTTTCATTTAAGTACAATATTAGCTATGTTACTGGCATATAAATAATGTAAGGGCATGTTTTTTTCTATGCCAATTTTCTAAGCATTTTTAATAAGTGGATGTTGAATCTTAAATGCTTTTTCTGCATCTATAGATGACCATATGATTTTATATTTCCTTTTGTAGTTGGTCAATGAGACTGATCAAATCCTTGAAATATATAACTACATGTATTATATATGTGTGTATATATAGTACACAAACACACAAATATATAGTAAAAGGTAGATTAATGTTAATCTAGAGCCGGAGAAGTGAGAAGATTGGAAGATGAAGGCCAAGAAGAAGAGAAATTCTTTTCAGAATGTTGAAAATTCTCTAAAATTGATTGTAGTGATAGCCACAAAGTTGTGAACCTACTAGGAGTCACTGAATTATAAACTATTTTTACATTTTATATTTTAAAAGGACAGGTTCATAGGGAAAAGAAGAAAGAGAAAGAACTTCACCTGCATAATCACAGGCAGATAGAAGAGCTCTAAATTATAAACTTTTAATGAATGAATTGTATGGTACAGGAATGACATTTTTAATGAAGTGACTTTTTTTTTTTTTTAAAGAGATACATAGTTTTATTCATAGTAGCCAATAGTGGGAAGTAACCAAGATGTCCAAAGTGAATGGTTAAAATAACTGTGGTACATCTAGACAGCGCTAAAATGATTTGATATATACAGTTAGGAAAAGCCATGGAGAAAATTTAAATGCACATTACTAAGTTAAAGTAGTCAACTTGAATGAACTATGGTATTCTGGAAATGGCTAAACTCTGAAAATAGTGGAAAGACCAGAGGTTGCCAAGGGAAAGGAGAGGATTAGATGAATGGAAGATCAAAGAAAACCTTCAGGACAGTGAAACTGCTATGCTACTACAAGGGTAACTACAGATGTAGGGAACTAAGAGTGAACCCCAATGTAAAATATGGTCTCTAAGTGACAGTAATGTGCTAAATGTTGGTCCATTACAACAAATGTCTCATTCTAGCAATGGACTCTTAATGTCAAAGAGGGTGTGTTGTGTGTAGGTCTGTGGCATGTATTAGAAGTTTTTGGGCCCTCCCTGGAGACGCAGTGGGTTAAAGCACAGCACTGAGAAGCTTAAGCCACTTCCGCACGAGTTCGATCCCCATCTGCTCCGAGGAGATCCATATGGCGAGGCACACCTCTCCTGACCCGCCCGCTGCTCCCCTCAGCAGTGTACTTTGATCATCTGCCTGTTCTGCTCCCCACTCTGTCCCTGGTGAAGCCTCTCACCCTC